AGACTGCATGTTGCCCATCAGGACAAGTGCAAGTGAGGAAGTTAGAGAAAGACAGACATCAGAGCTAACTAATGAAAACACATCCTACTGACAGTGCAAAATCTTACACTATCTTTAAGGAGTGGCTTTCATATTCACAATTATGGGAGATATGGCGTAGAAAACCAAGAGGACATCCAAAAGAATATTATACCCATAACTGAGAACTAGGCAGATTAGAGCAGTACTTTCAATCATGTACCAAGGATCTTGACAGAGTGAATATAGGAGCCTGGCCTGGGAAATTATTGAGGTTTTTCACCTTGTTTTGTTTTTTGAAATTATTGAGTTTTAACAGGGAAACAGAGTGAGAATTTACTCTCAAGGGCGGAGTTCTGGACTGTCAAAGCATCTGTCAGATCCAAACTTGTGAACACTGAAACTTTTGATCATATTGTTTTGAAGTGGGACACAAAGGGAATGAGTGTTAAGGGTTAAATATTGCCACTAAAATTCAAAAAGGACTCATGCACTTACACTTGCCAGTTCACCTGGACAGAGATACAAGGAATGCTTCTGTTTCAATCACAAGAAAGCAACCTAACTTAAAATTCACGACATGTAAAGACTAGAGATACTCCTTGTTTAATGATGGACTTATGTTCTTGTGACTAGTCATTAAATGAACAGTTCACTAAATAAGGAAATGTATGTAGTATGTACATTACCATATTCAGGAATGGTCAAAGGCAACTCCAAAAAATGACTTTTCCAAGGACAATCACAATATAAAGTCAAATGTAGGTTGCAAATCTGAACTGTGCACCTCAGCAGTCAATACTGAGGTGGGTTGCTAAATGAGCAATTGCTGTATATGGAGAAAAAAGAAGGTGGCCTGACAGAAGTGAAAATTACTCTAATGAAATCCTGGAACACAACAATGGTAGGAATGCATTAATTGTCCTGATGAACACGGACAAGAGATGTTTGAGAGGTAAGAACTCTTTGGGCCAGAAATTAGGCAGTTTCTACAATTAACTGGGCAAGCCAATAAAACATACCACAACTGATGGTATGAAATAAAAGATATTCTGTTAGAGAAATTTATAGTCAGGAGTTCCCACATCAGAAAAACACAGAGCTCAAATTATAAGCTAAATTTTAACCTCAAGTTGATAAAATACAGATCAAATTAAACCCAAAATGAAGGTAAGAAAGAAGGTGTAAAGATCAGAGCAGAAATTAATTTAACTGACACCAAGAAAACAATACAAACAATTGATGAGTCAAAGAGATGGTTGTGGTTGCAGGTACGGGCAGTCTGCCACTGCTCCTTGAGTGGCCTGGGTCTGGCTCCTGCACACGCCTTGAACTGACTAAGAAGCAGACCAGGTGGGCTATGACCTGCTCCCACCGCCACGGTTCCCAGCTGAAACTCACGGACAGAGCCAGGTATCTCCCATCTACTTCCTGAGGGCACAGCCGGCAACCCAGGACCCCGCTGCCACTACAGTCTGAGTGTCTGTCCTCACTGCACCCGCAGTAGACAGGAGGTCCTCACTCAGAAGCCCTGGGGACTAGTCTCACTGAGGTTCACGTGAGGGCCCTCCCTGTGCGGGCCCTATGTTGAGTGAGTGAGTGCTCCAAAGGCCGCTGGTCCTGTGGTTCAAGTCTGTGCTTTACTTGTGCCCAGACCCCCTGGGTGGTCACAGGTATGGGCATTCTGTGACCGCTGTCAGGCCAGCCCACATCTGGTTCCTGTATGTGTCCTGAACTGACTGGAGACACAGAATCAAGTGGCTCACAATCCGCTGACCCTGCACTTTGTGTCTGGGTTTTGCCTGTACCCTGAACTGCCTGGAGACATAGGTCCATTGGACCGGGATTATCACAGCAGTGCAACCCA